AACCGCAGCGCCCAGCGCGCGAGCTTTCCGCGAGGATATCTGGTTGTCCTGATCCACTCCAGGTGTTTGTGATCGGTTTTGACATGAAATATTCGCCCAAGCAAATCTGGTCTCCACTTATCAAAGGCCCAAACGATCGCTAAACATTATTTTTCAGCGATGGAGTACTTCTGTTCAGCTCTGGTCAGGACACGACTGACATATTCGATAACCCCATTCCTCTGCTTTAGGACTGCGCCAATCCCGCAATCACTGGCGTTCGTTGCAACAGTGAACATGTTTCCGACCCTAGACAGTTTGGGGGTCAGCTGCCGATCTAACATCCGCGCTTTCACACGCTCAAAAGCCTCATGTGCTTCTCCGGTCCATTCGAATTTCCGATTTTGCCCGAGCAAGTCGTACAGTGGCGCAGCGATCGTGTTGAAATCCCAAACGGACCGGCCGCAGTATGCTGCTCGTCCAAGAAACCGCCTTAAAGACCGCGTTGAGGAAGGAAACTATCTTGGAGTTCTCAGTTGGATCGTATCGCGAGCACCTCAGCATGTCTTGCTCACTTATATGAACTGAAGGTTTAGATGGAATTGCGGGAGCGGATGTCAGTGGCAGTAGGTCGACAAGACCCGTTATGTAGATGAGGATCAAAATGTACAATGTTCTCATTCTGATGACATATCGGCAAATATTCACTCCTCACTCTTGACCAGGCCAACTTGACAACAGGTTATTTGTCTGCAACCACGAACGGTTTCTCCACCTAACCCAATCCTTCTCTAAAAGAAGTTCATTCGGATCGACTGAACCTTCGGCTTAGAGCTAGCCGTCTTGGTGCACCTCTATCATACCCTCCCCAAAACTCAATCGGTTTCTTTGCATTTCCCGTTCCATCCTCTTCATTGGTATCAACTCTTCCTCCTGGAATAACTTTACACAAGACTTCCCGACAGCGAATCAAACGATTCTGAACATTTTCAGTGTATGCGAGATTCAAGCTATCATTCATCAGTGGAGAGAGTTTCCACAATTCATAATTTCCCTTTGCGCTTTCCCTGACCCTGACAATAAAGCCAAATGTTCAAGTCCACGGCGTCTCAGTAATGGTTTCCAGTGTTGTTTCTAAATTGGGTGACAGATCAACGATACACTATAACACCTCCAGATTCATTGTGATGGTTTCTCATTTCCCGCAGTTCACAATTTTCTTATCAAGTGCCATTCAGAATACCCTCGTTTTGCCTTCTCTCGTTGTTGTTGCCAATCATCTTCGAACTGCTTGAGGTTGAAATGTTCCTTTGAATAAGCACCCTAATAACTGTTTCTCCGAGCTCGGTGCCTACTACTTTTATGATTGTATAGTTTTAGGCTAGATCGCGTCTGCGTCAGATAATGCTCATTGTTTGATTGATTGTCCCACCGCGCATTCTTGACTACTCTAGTGGTCTGGCTATCCAAAAAGTTACGTTACCAGGAATGTATGGCAAAGAAATAAAAATGACAATGCTAGTTTGAGTATACCATATTGAGGGGGTCGGATGGAACAGACTCAGCAAGAATTGTTCCCTTTGAAATAGCCCGTTGTTGGCCCAGGTCAACGAATAAACAATAATCCAGTCAAAGTTGTCCGGGGGTACTCTTCTGAACAGTTTTCGAACAGTTTCGAAGATAGTCTTAAATGTTGTGATACCAGAGTCAGCACACGGGACTCCCAAATGACCGCTGTGAGCACGAGCGATATCAGAAGACAGTCAAGGCACGTGGCCAGGTTTATATTGCGTGAATTTGTACAAGTGCGTGTTTCTGTATTTTTTCGCAATAAAAACAAAACGTTTCTGCAATTGGCAAAGTAGGCATTGTTATAATGAAAGAGAAAGAAAGATATAGAACAACGCAGTACAAAAAACTTACATCAGTCTTGCCTTTATTAATAATTTTATTCCATACTAGTGAGAGACGTAAGTCAGACATGATCATACGGTTACGGTCAGATTGGAGATCGAATGGGTGGATTTACGGATACTGGGGATGGTGCGAAAAAAGGGAACGTCAAAAACAGTGGGCAATATCCAATACAGCTTTGACAATGCCTAAACCCGTATGGGAAGGAGACACAAGTACCAGTGGTTTGTCATAATTCGAAGAGAACATATCAAGCTGCTACAAGATCAGATCGTGAAGATTTGAAGATAGCGGGTAAAAACAGAACGATGGAGGGTTAAAAGAGGCACTTCGTTCGGCACATGATAAGGAAACTTCACATTCCGAAAAATAAGGAACTAGAACGACAAATATAGTGCGGTAGTTGGAGTGCCATGATCTAACCGGTTAATTTCAACTAAAGTCTAAGAAAATCGTAAGGGCTTTTTCGGCGTTGGACCGTTCGACTTATTTCCAGGGCCATAAAAAGCGAAAATGCGGATGATGAACTAGAGGAATCATCAATACGGATTAATGGTAATAGAATCTCATAGTAATCGTGTACTCTGAAACTGTAGAGACTCGTTGGTGTCACTGCTGGAGTGGAGTGTGGCGCCAACCTTCTTTGTGGGAGTCGGTGCTAGCGCACAAGACGGAACGCGGGCAGCACAGTAAATAGATGACTTTGTGAGGAGCGAAGAATGAAGGTCAACGAGATGTATTTATCCGAACGAAAGTTTCGGCGGTTGAGAATGAACAGGTCCCGGAGGCGTCCGACGCCAGATGAAGTGTTTGCTAGCAGCTGTAGGTAAGCTAATAGGTGGGCGAAAGCATCGTTAATAAAAGAAACTAAATAGTTGCGAGCAGGCCATCAGGTAGTGCCGTGCCATCGTTGCGCTGACGCACTTCGGTTTTTGGACAAACCCGTGACCAACGTCATGTTTGAGGTGTTTGGGCTGGGAGGTGAAGTGCTCTAGGCAGCAGGATTTTTCGGGGGTTTGACCACGAAATCCGCCGATGTAGAAAAAAAGCTAATGTAAGGCTGCGGGTATTTTTTGTCCGAACGGGGGTCCCTTCGAACTTAATGCACAGATCAGCTGGTGTGGATAGAGGCCAAACACGGCGTCCATATCAAATGCAATACTTGATAGACGGTGCATACCGTGCCGTTTACTCTGGGACCACACCGAGCCAATGTAATTTCATTTTCTAAGAAAAGCAGAACCAGGAGTCTCAGATTTTTCCGATCATTTATCCTTGTATTCTTCAGGCTGTTAGCTGCTCAAATTACCCCCTTCTGAGAAACGAGTAACATCACGATATCACTTATCTCGCTACTTTGAATGATATAAGTCACCGTAGCCTCAGACAAGTCAATTGTTTTCCAATCCAACTCCCAACTTTCTACATGATTGATAGTGAAACGTCTTAGTAGGTTCACGGATAACTTCTGAAACCACCGAATGCCCTAGCACTCTCATACTCTACGGGCCTAACACCTTAAGATGCCCACCTGACCAAAACCAGATCTCGTGAACTGGCTGCAAAAACGCATAAGCTCGGACGACGGCTTTCGGTCCCATTCACTCAAATTTACACTTTCGTCCTCGTTAGCTCCTTTCAGGGAAGGCTGCACAACGACCTTTGGCTTTGGCGGCACGCCGTCTGGCTGACGTATGTTGAAGATTTTCGCATGCGGCCCTATTCGTTCAGGAGACTTCGAGCTGTCATTCTACACCATCATCTTCTGAGCACCAGGGATCATCCTTTGACATCTGGTACTACCATGTTCAAAAAGCTTCTAGTGAATTTATTTCTTCTCAGGTGCTTTGTGTCCTGGGCCGAAGTCCAGCTATTAAATTCCGCCGCTTCTAGTGGCCCTTTTTACTCTTGAGTCCGCATCCTAAATGTGCTGTCTCGTTGGGATAGCGATAACACTGCTTGCAATTTTTGTGACGATCCTACTGCGCTCAAGAAAGCACCGCTATATACAGGCTCTTGGCATCCGCAGCTCCCTAGCCACCTTAATAACATAAAAATTTAATAACACTTGTGCTCGGAAAAGGCCTCGAAAAAGGTCCCCTAGTTCATGGTTAGGCGTGTTACTCCTTCCCTGATATCCACCGCGTCCTAATCATGGCAATTTGGACAGGGCTGTATTTGTGTTGAATTATGTCCTACTTCTATACTTTTCTGGGCCCCCGAAGCTGACGGCGTTAATCAACTTCTTCCGTAGAAACCTCAACAACCTAGGTCTCTGTTGTTCGTTCAGACGGCTATGCAGCATCCGCCTCATAATAGCGGCGTCAATAGAATGCACTCCCACTCTCACTTCACCTCTGGTTCACCATCTTCTGGTCTGTGGATCGGGAAATTTCTACCCTGCTCTCTTCCCTTGAGACCCCGTAAGCACTGTATTGAAAAGAGCTTAATAGCATTTAGGAACCAGATGATAGTTCGTACGAACTATCTACGTTCTATGGTGAAGTTTTCCGTTATAGTAAGGGGAAAATTGAATTTATGGAAGATATTACAGACGAACTACTGGCAACCGCGTTGAGATACTAAACCCGTTTCTGATCTGGAAACTCAGGCTACTTCAAGTAGGTCACTGGAAAATTTATTCTTACACGCGGGGAGTATGATTCCTAGGCCAGTGGCCTTGGGCCCTATTTAAGTTGCTCATTATGAGCTGACGGTGCTCTGAGGTTGTTGTCACTCCAGGGCATGGTTCCGGCGATAGGCAATGCTTATTCACTGCTTCCTCGGTCTAATTGTCATTCATCTCGGCGTGTCAGCATCTCCTTCCAACAGTGTCATATGTGAAGGCGGCAAGTGTTATCTGGAGTTTGAGGAGTGGGTTGTCCAGGTTCCTGATGGTGCCTTGGCAGCGAAACTCGTCGCTAGGTGTATGGGGCTGGACCTTATAAGATCGGTATGTTGCTTTTATTTTACGCTGACCTTTAGTTAAATGGGTTCGACAATATGTACTTGCTACGTGCTCCGAAATTATTAAAAAAGAGAAACTCATTGCGACTACTCAGGTGCACCAGAAGTTCCTCTGTAAGTCTAGTAACATTGATGTATATATGTATATATTTTCCTTCAAGGTTGTTTGGGCCGAACGACAGGTTCCACTTATTCGAGAGAAGCGTTCTCTCTCCCCATCCGTCCGTTGGAATGATCCGTTATATCCACAGATGTGGTATATCGTAAGTGCATATGGTTTAGTAGCCCTTATAATCCCGTCAGACCATCCGTACGAATATTTCGGTACGCAAATAGGTTACACAGCACTTTCTGTTCGGTATACCCGTGGTTTTGGAGTAATTCCATCGTCTGACTTTTGCGCCAGGAATTTAGCTTACCATACCTGATTCGTGCATGTAGGGTGACGAGTGTGACTGGAGTTTTCTTGCACCTGGATGGGAAGAAAGAATCAGAGTTTTTTTTATCAAGATGAGTAATGCTCATAACTCGGCTTTGCGCACACCAGTTGACAACTCGGGACCTAATCAAACGGTGGTCGAAAGTTTGTGAACCAGACGTTACTGGTGTGCTGGCATTTCACCTAACAGATTCGACACAGTTAAAATTCGTTAAACCCAACCTTTCCCCGTTCTGTGGCTTATTAGTTTTAGTCCTGCTTCTAGGTCCGCTGTCCTAGAGGGGCGGGACACGTTTGACGTGGCAAACCTCTTCATCGGGGTGTTTTCAAGTCTAGTATTCCATAGTTTCCGCAGAGTTTTCCTTCCTGTCTAGATCCATCAATGGTATGGATGGAAATTCGTAAATGAGGTAAATGGAGCATCAGTAGAATTTTCATTTGAGGGAATTTCCGTCCCAACATCGCTCATCCAGAGAGGCACCCCCAGCCTTTGAACAATCAGATTCGATCTGAAAGGCAGCAGACAGTAGCACCCTATTACACTACGCTGAGTTTTGACTTCAAATTCCCCATACAGCATAGAACATTTGTTACATTATTATGAGCAGGGGGAATTTCTTCCCAAATGTCCACCCCGATCCCTCCCGTCCAGTCATTTTGCTTGCTTTCGTTGTTGGCCAAACTTTAACCACTTCCTTGCACCCCTTAGCTTGCGTCCTTCGGATTAATCAGTTGATCGTTTTGCCTAGGCCAATTGGTCCCAGTGAATCGATAATCTTGTGCGGTCCGTCTTACCTTTCATGCGTTCCAGTTAATCCGTTACTAGCCCTCGTTTTCCTCTCTCACTAGTTCTTTGGCGTTCACCACACTGCTGGGTGCTCTTGTGTGTCATTTTAATTGTTGGTCACCTTTTGTGTACACCGCTTTGTCGTGCTCTTCTGAGTATCTTTAAACCCAGGAGACTCATGCTATTATAGTAGCGCAGAACTTGAATTCAGCTTCTTTGGATTTAACCCAAACCATTCGTCCACTTATTACTGAGTACTTATCGGGTTCCGGTGATCACGGTGGACAAATGTTCCGCCATCGGGCACTTGGTAATGTGTCAGAATCGCTCAAGCAGCAGGCAAAACTTATCAGGTGGGAGTGTTTTGGGCATATAATACGTTTCCGTGGTCACCCTCTACTACTCCGAACCCGTGTTGGTGGGAAATCCGCAGAAGGCAGGCTATGACGTGATAATATGAAATGGAAGCGGCTACCGTCAATCTCAACTCTCTGGGATTTCCGCACCTTCTTAGGTGGAATCCACTTGGTCCCCCGTGGTTGCGGTTAGAAATCCTACAGAACCTGCTACCTCACCGGCGCTGTGTTTGTCGTCATCCGTCTAAAATCTCTGTTCTCGTGTGCTACGTTCGTATTGTGATGTATGAGGCTCTCAAGGGACATTTTGTCAGCCACGATGATGGCGCCTTGCCCCAAGGTGATGCTCAGATGTGTTTATTCGGTAGTTCAGATGGCATGAGCGCATTTCCCTTCACGGGTTTCCTTCCGAGCACAGACCTCTATTCAATGCTTCTTCCTTTGTTTTTACTGAAACCATGTTTCTGCTTGATTGTATGGGGTTAAGAATCAGTTTCGACTGCCGTCCGTGATAGAGTTGTTGGTGATAACGATGCTGGTGATGAAAGGTTGGTTAGATTGTACGGCCATCACGACCACTGTATTCCAAAGATGATCCCATTAACCCGATCCATTGGAGCTGTTCGTGTTCTCACCGTTGTTTCTTTGGAACAAGTGTTGAGATATCCTTCTATGGACGGGCAACCAATGGACCGTTTGCCGGATTAGGGTAACAGGCATCTACTTTTGTCCTTAGGTACATGTTACGAGAATGTAACGGATGTCACTTACTCAGAAGGGATAACATAGTGGGTGGCCATGGGAGTAGCTCAGTTATGCAAAAGTTGGCACCGTACTTTCCCCGCAACATCCAGTAACGCTCAACCTTAAACTTAATATAGCAACGACGGAACAGCCGGAGTACCTCATGGGATCAACTGTTTCCCCAAAAATTGTCTTGAAACACTGCTACTCTCAGGTGACGCTAAATGTTTAATAACGCTTGCGGCAGCTCGTTGGGGACTGTTTAAATGTGACCTAGTGTTTACATTTTTCACCTTGGGTCACTCAGGCGGTCATAGGTGCAGAAAGCTTTGGAGGGTATGGAGCCTGTCAAGATGACTTTTGAGACCAGGAATGTTGGTAGAATGCCCTACAACCTGTGAAGTGCATATTCCAAGTTCACAGGTTCAGGTACTCTGGATTCACCAGGGGAATGCCGGGTTATTATCAAGATCCGGAGAGGCTCAACATATTGGACGCCGTTTAGTATTGTCGGGGATATTCACGTCATTAGTCGTGTTCCGCTCCTGTTCTTGATAGTTGGTCAAAACTTCATTTCTAACACAGTCTCAGGGTTCATGGCACTGGACTGGTCGAAATGGATCTGCAACAAACGTAATACTGCAATTGATAACTGGGAAACCGACTCTAGGCTCGTCTTCAGGTTCAGTTAAGTCTACTATCGTTATTGACGTCTATTCTTTCGGGATTAGAGCAACAGAACAAGAGCATAGACTGAGCGTTGCTATTTCTAGGTTGCTGTAATACTTCACTTGTGCCCTTTTGGCTTACACTTCGCCACTGGGGCCGATTGCCATGCATTGAGTTTTAGTTCAAGTTGTTCCGTTTCAAAAGAATTTTCCCCAGCAACCCAGTAGTGAATATGAGCTTTCGCAGTACCCCACGATGCCTTCACACACTGCTCAATTAAGGAAATTCTGAAAACCGACTTCCTGTCGAGGTGTTCTCCTTTGTTCTCACTGCAACTCGTTGTTCGCGACTCGCGCCGATCCGAATGTGTGAATAAGCTTTGGAAATACAAGATACTTGCAAACGGTTGATCGTCCAACTCCGACGAACCTTCATTGCTGCCTGACAATGTTTTCCTCCACAGAAACCGATCCGTAGTTTCACCTTCCCTAGAAGGAGCTGCTTTGTACATAATCTGTACGGTTCAGATGGCCTCGCCTGCTGCTATCATGGTCTCAGAAACCGACTCTAGGCTCGTCTTCAGGTTCAGTTAAGTCCACTACCGTTATTGACGTCCATTCTTTCGGGATCAGAGCAACAGAACAAGAGCATAGACTGGGCGTTGCTATTTCTAGGTTGCTGTAATACTTCACTTGTGCCCTTTTGGCTTACACTTCGCCACTGGGGGCCGATTCCATGCATTGAGTTTTAGTTCAAGTTGTTCCGTTTCAAAAGAATTTTCCCCAGCAACCCAGTAGTGAATATGAGCTTTCGCAGTACCCCACGATGCCTTCACACACTGCTCAATTAAGGAAATTCTGAAAACCGACTTCCTGTCGAGGTGTTCTCCTTTGTTCTCACTGCAACTCGTTGTTCGCGACTCGCGCCGATCCGAATGTGTGAATAAGCTTTGGAAATACAAGATACTTGCAAACGGTTGATCGTCCAACTCCGACGAACCTTCATTGCTGCCTGACAATGTTTTCCTCCACAGAAACCGATCCGTAGTTTCACCTTCCCTAGAAGGAGCTGCTCTGTACATAATAATCTGTACGGTTCAGATGGCCTCGCCTTTGTACATAATCTGTACGGTTCAGATGGCCTCGCCTGCTGCTATCATGGTCTCAGGGAAGCACCCAGCTATGAGTTGCTGAAGCCATCAAGGCGCCTTCGTGATGAGTTAGGGAGATTTTTTGCCAGGTGAAGACTGTTTTTTTTTTCACTCTGGATGGAAATAAGACAATTGCGTGATGCCTAACGCAGCCGTCAGTTTTTGCTGATAACTCAAGTGGATATTCAATTTTGGATAGACCAGCGCTACTCTGGATGGAAATAAGACAATTGCGTGGTGCCTAACGCAGCCGTCAGTTTTTGCTGACAACTCAAATGGATATTCAATTTTGGATAGACCAGCGCTTTGCGCACGATAACTGACTTACGAGATCATGGCTATCGTGCCGCAGTAACTATTTTTTGAAATGGCTTGCCAATAGTCCGAGCTTGGACCTTATCAAGAACACTTGCGGGAGGGAGTTTACAGAGTTGATTGCGGAACTGAATTCATCCAGGTATTGAATGTGAAAACGATACAGCAATGGTGAAAATGAATTATATTGAATACGGAGTGCGTTAAAACCAGATATTTAAACAACCAAAAATAAATAAAAAACAAGCTAATCGGCTCGATGCTAAAGTTGCTCCGACCGGAGTGGAGTCTCGTAAACCCACATCTTGTTGTATGATTTTTCTGCGGTCTTGTAAATTTAATCTCAACTGCCCACGCGTATCCAGTGGCCATGCAGATTTGCGTAGGCTCATATAAAGTTTGAAGATCCTACGCTGAGCAAGGCTTGAAGGTATGGCACACGCTATACTACGTGAGCCTGATGACTCGGTACGTGTCAGTCAATAGATGAGCATTCGCCGTGTTGCATTGAAATCAAACTACTGAAACACGTGACGAGCACGATAACGGCTGTTCTAATCCCTACAGTCAGTGTTGTACCGAACACTCAATGGTTATGAAACGCTTACATCCCCCTCTTCTCGCTAAATTCCGAACTGAGTGATTTATCCCGTTTCGAATGACCTTTAGATGCCTCACCTAATCTGTTCTCATCATCCTATTCTAGATACGAAATGACCTAAATCAGGGCTACGATATGAACGTCCAAGAAGCCTGGATGTTAGGCTACTCAGGCAAAGGAGTGGTGGTCACCATAATGGACGATGGTGTGGATCACAATCACACAGATCTGAAGAAGAACTACGTAAGTCGGTGCAGCGCAGTTAGACAGTGTTTGGTTTTTCCTATCAAAGTGCCCGTATTCGTTACAGTTTCACTAGTTTTGTTATTATGATATAGTCTGAGTAGCAGACAGCAGCTCTGCTGTCGTCCGGGTTAGTACCACCACCCATGCCATTGGAAGCCATGTGTGTGTGTGTGGATTGCCAGGTTGCCCATCTGTGTACATTTCTATTTCATTTTTATACACTTCGCTGTATTATAATTTTCTACAGCACTGCGTTTGTCGCGTTTTGTTGTGTTGTACCGTATTACACTGTATTGGATTGGGTTGTATTNTATTATATTATATTATATTATATTATATTATATTATATTATATTATATTATATTATATTATATTATATTATATTATATTATATTATATTATATTATATTATATTATATTATATTATATTATATTATATTATATTATATTATATTATATTATATTATATTATATTATATTATATTATATTATATTATATTATATTATATTATATTATATTATATTATATTATATTATATTATATTATATTATATTATATTATATTATATTATATTATATTATATTATATTATATTATATTATATTATATTATATTATATTATATTATATTGTATTATATACATACTTACCTATTGCACGTACATATGCAGTTGACCCGCCTTAACACTCGACTTTTCGGACTGTTAACCATACAACGGTTGCGGCGGTGACCCTGCGAATATCGTTGTACGGAGTTACCACCTTGACCTAGTGGTCGGGCTTGAAAGCTGCAATGATCCCGCCGGCTTTACTGGCTGGAATACCGTATCACAGAGTGCAACCATGCCAGGAAGGCCAAAGGAGAGCAGTCAGATAAAGAACAGCGAGAATCCGCGCTGCGACCAATCGTGCTATCATGCGATCTGGGGTTAAAGTACTGTCTTCTGCCATGAAAGTGTGAAAGTAGTAAGGTATTTTCTGCAGACGACCACCATGTCTATATTTACGGGATCAGCGATGCTGCCTTTCCCCGAGGCAGGACGAGGTAGTAAAGATCGGGTCTAAAAACCACCTACTCCGATCGCTCCATGGTTGATTTTAACCACTGGCGCATTATTCACTACGGTCGGAATACTTTTTAAACCAAAGTCTGGTGCTGCTCAAAGGGTACTTGCAGTCGCATCTGGAATCAGACAGTAATACCTTACTCCGTGCGCCCCCTCGGGTTAGGCCACCACCCACTCCCGCAGCCGGTCAGGTCGGACTCTTGAGTCATCGGGTCTCCAAACAAAACCCCACTGCCCGCTGCTTGGCAGGACAAATTTTTCAGCCAGAGGCTAGGTTCGGGTTCCCGAAAAAAAACCCGCAACCTTCCACTGCCTTCTTGGTCAGACTTTTGAGTCAAAAGCTCAATGCGAGGACCTCAAACTAACTCCCTTCCTCGGCTTGGGCAACTAGGAGATATCAGTTGTCCTCACAGCTCCTTGTCCACTGCTGTCCCTCCAACCCCCTCCCATTACACAGGCAAAAGTTGCTGGCTCCTTTGGTCTGCAGTTACCTGACTGATATAAAGAGCCTAGAGAAAGGCCTAAAGCTTTGTTGGACATCGAAAACCGGGAGATGTAGAAGGCTTCTACCGGAAACAACCGTGCTGTATACCAATTGATAAGATAGACTAGCCATAACAAAGAAACGGTCAGTAAAACCATAAGTGAAATAGGTGGCTCATTAGCTCACTCGCAAAAACGCTGACTGAAAAGATGGGCGGAACACTGAAGAATAGTTTGGCTTGCCTCCTGAAACGCAGCCTCTGGAAACAGTGCAAACAGGCGAATGATATTTCAACTTACATCGCCCGCCAGAAGAAGATATAAAGTACGAAATATCCGTACTGAAATGCGAGAAGGCACCAGGATCAGATGGTCTGTATCCATCCCTCTTCAAAGAAGACAACGAGTCCCTGGTGTCTCATCTGACAAAGGTGATTGGTGTGATATGGAGTGAACTGAAAGTGCATGAAGGATGTGATACATCGACAGTTATTCCTTCAAAAACGGTACGCGAACGCTATGTGAAGATCATGATGGCATTAATCTGGTAGCGGTGGTGCCGAAGGGACTGGTTTTGTCCCCTGAAGGTTGACTACGTTTTCCTTCAAAAATGAGATCGGGAGCGACAGATCCGTGAAAGCCACGCCGGATTTATTCCTTTGAGAGGATGCATCGATCAAATTTTCACCCTCCGACAGATTCTGGAACAATTGCACTTCTTCCAGCAACCAACAATCATTGTCCTCCTTGACTTGGGGGCTGCCTTTTATTCTACAGACTTTGGCAGTGTCTATGAAGCAAAGATGTCCATAAAAATTCTCCGCTCTCCTCAAGTTGCTGTACGCCAACTGGCGCGGATGCGCAAAGATCTACTATGGGCTGTTGCCTGAATTCACTACATCAACTGGCGCGCAGATGCCCAAAAATCTACTAGAAGCTGTTGCCTGAATTCACTACATCAACTGGTTTCAGTCAAGAGTGTCACTCTTCACCTTTCCTCTTTGTCACTGGTATGATTATGGAGCGCTCACTCCCAGCGTGTTGTTTTGAAACGTCCCAAGATCATTTGTTCAATTGTCGAGCAAGCAGAGGATATAGCTCTTCTTTGATCTGACATTACTTTAATTTAGACAACACTAAATAATTCTGCGTCACACTTTGGCGTGTGCCTCACATCTGCAAGGCTTAAAGTACTGTTTCAAACCTCAACATCATGCTTGCGGATGAGCTGATTGAGGTGGTAGACAGTTTAGTCTACCTGGGCAGCTGTATCACTCCCGGTTGTTTCGCGAACGATGCTACTTCCATCCAAATTGGGAAGGCCAGACCAGTTTTTGTAAACTTGTGTCACCTGTGGCGTAGACGTGACATCCGCTTGTCCGTGAATTGTTTTTTTACAATGCTACGGTGCGCTCCATATTACTGTACAGGTCAGAAACCTGGCCGCTGCGCGTTAAAGACGTCAAAAGACCTTCAGTGGTTGACCATCGATGTCTTCGGAACATTGATCAAGTCTGGTAGGATCACTGGTAGGTTTCCACAAAAAGCAACTCGCCCATGATAGGTGAACTGATCACATTGCATAGGTTGCGTTGGTTTGGTTATGTTCTCCGTATGTCACGTGACCGACTTCCCCGGAAGAAACGAGCCAGCCTAGGTCAAGCAGTGACTTGGCAGCGAAATATGAGGCCATCACCAGCAAACCTAGCTGCGCTAATCGTTGCCTTCTACATGAATGGGAATCCCAAAACGGGATACATTAATCATTAGAGACGTTGTCGGACATGGCCCAATCGTGCACTCATTGGCGTTCATGTATTCATAGCTCCCCTGCCGATCTCCCCACTGAAAGTCCACGCATCAATTACATCAGTCACTGCTTCTAATGCGTAGCTCCCTACCCTACCTCTCCAAATCATCGGCGAATGAGACTGGGGCAGACATAACCACTGTACGGCAAGTACGCGGATTTTACAGCTGATGATAATGCTGAATATATGTGCCTGGATTCGTCTCATGCGTGCTGCGGGCGTCCAGATCACAGTTCACGCGCACTTCGCTGCCTAAGTGTTCGGCTGTCGATACTTGGCAATCACGAGCCACCATTCGGGCACGCTGAAGTGCCACCTCCGTTTTCCCCCGCGTTGTTTCCTCGGGTTAATACAGGATACAATGCGTTCAGGTGGATGTACGTATAGCTCAGAGCCAACTGTATCCCAATGCACGTGGGATACACAAGATTTACAGGATGAAATTGGCCATTCTGAAAGCCGTTAGTGTTGCCTCCGGTCGGACAACGCATCAGTTTTCTTGTCTAAGCTTGCGAGCTTGTCCTCCACGCTTTGTGAATTGTTTTTTCACATCCGGTCGGATGAATGCGTGGGTGTGTGTGCACACCACCCTTTGTGAGGCCATCCATAATGTGGTTACGCTACCAGTGTGTACATTTGATGTTTACCGACCTGCAAGCGAATCAGGCCTTCTCAGATTGAAACCTGTTTGGTGCAGTGGCGGTGGGTAGAATGGAACATACTCCATTCTGATGAAGATGTTGGTGGCTTCATCTGTTGTTTTGGCATGTGAAATAGGCCAATATGCGCGCGGCAGGACGGCTGTTTTTCTCAATTCTTTGGGTTTTCACCAGAGAGTCGGTACTGCTTCGCGTTCGGTAGTTTCATTACTTTTAATGAGGACGTGCCCATTATTTCAAGAACGCAACCCAGCACGCTCAGGCGGATCAGTCGATCGACAGACGCAACTAAGATATGGTTCGTTGTTCGAGGTGCCGGGCTTTCCGCTTCACTCAAGCGCGAATATGTTCACCTGTTCAGACGCAAACATTCAGATGTGTCCAGCATGCGCCTCACATGTTCGGAGTTCCAACCGCCTGCACAACCAATAATATGCACTGCTGATGAGCTCTAACAAGAGCGAAACTCGAGATCAGTGCTTTTCCTCTTTGGTGTGGACTCACCAGAATGATTGCACCAGGACAAAAGGACGGTTGTTCGACCGACGGTCATGTGAGTATGCATTCTACAAAATACTGCACCACAAAATCCATGGTTATTTGTCTGGGAGAGAAGGGGCTCCGTCTTGAATGGAAATGTATCCAAGTATCGGCAGCTCAGGTAAGTTTATTGCCTACTGGAAGGCACGTCTGCTAGGAAATCAAGGGCAGCAAAGAACTGCGGAACTTTTCGTCACAAATGGAATGTGTTGTTAGTGTGCTATCACGTGTTATACTGGCATCTTTTTTTCATGAACAACCAATCGGATAGTTTGACCTTTACAGGTGTACCAGTTTTCTTCCGGACTGTACAAATTTGGCGTACCACCAACACGCGTAAGTGTGGGTATAATCGCGAATATCGTCATAGCTGATTAATCTTTAATCGGTGAACCTGTTAGGTGCTTAAAGTCAGATCCTAATACGGGATGTTTTGTGCTACTGATCAACAAGTTATCGAACGCGGTGCCTGGGGGGTTGATTTATACGTGGCATGAATAAAACAGTCGTTCAGCTGTAGCACCCTTTCGATGCCTGACTGCCATGCCACCCGAAGGTTGCACGAGGGCTGGGACACTGTCAGGTTGCCCAAGCCTAGACAGGGGAGGTCGAGAGGCAGAGGTCGGGTTCGAACCACGGACCTTCCGGTCAGTAAATTCGCGCTCCAACCACTGTGGCCATCTCGCCACGTTCTGTTTGTCAGTTGAAACTATTCAGGGGCTCAAGGATTCAACATCAAGTCGATTCTTTTGATAGGACCAAGCCGTATGTCCCGTACGACCTCAACAGTCGCCAGCATTTAGTTACTGACTTGGCACATACTGGTCATCCTCAGGTGGTAACTTTTCTTGAGGGCTGCTGGGTGCCCACACAAGTCTGACTTCTAAGTGGTCCGAGAACCAGGTGAGGGTGTACACAGATGAGGTAGGATGTTACCTCGTGCCGCAGTACTCTTTACCTTCGCTTGTGTTACTAGAGGCGGTTCCCCCTTTTCAGTCCCAAAGTTCCTGATGACACAGGAGTCGACTGTTTTTTTCACACACGGAATGTCGTTGACATTCCGCCAACTCATTAGACTGGTTCGCAGCCATAGTCACGTGGATGATGTTTCCGAGGTCAGAATGTTGGAGTGCAGAACAAAAGTTGTCAATAGCTCTGTTGTTAGAAAAATGTCTACGCTCTGGAGCATACCAGGCCCGTTACAGGCGGTCACCTTTACTTGTTATCGATTAGTCAGAACGACAAATTGGATCGTGTGGACCGATGAGGTCGTAATTTTCGCTCAGAAATGGTAAAATACCATTCTGTTTTTGCGACAACTATACTCATTACCCTTCCGGTGCCTTCCCTTGTCTATGATGTTCCTATTCCACTGGATGTGTTGCACCAGGCTGCCTCACGTTTCAGTTGCTACGGTATGGTTCAGCTGTAACACCCTTCCGGTGCCTAGCTGCCATGCCACCCAAAGGAAGCATGAGGGCTGGGATACTGCCAGGTTGCCCAAGTCTAGACAGGGGAAGTCTAGATGCAGAGGTCGGGTTCGGACCACAGACCTTCCGTTCAGTAAATTCGTGCTCTAACCACTAGGCTATCTCGCCATTCAAGATGTCGCAATACATCTTCTGGATATAACACCCTACTGGTATGGTTGCTGTCGGAGAATTCAGCAACATTGAGGGTAGTGTGTTACGTTTATTCCATTCTCTTCGTTTCTTTTTTTCTCTTTGGTGCATCGCTTTTTAACAATGACGGATGCGTGCATAAAACACTCGTCACGTCATATACATTCACACAGTCTTTGAAACGACATAACCATAGGTCTATCATTCATGAAAGTGAATATTTCGCATCAGTTCGTGTCAGAAAAACTACAAATTTTAGCGAAATACACTCATTTACAAACAAATTTGGTTTTGCGAAACTCACCTGGAACCCAGCTGAATCTCTCGGTTTTGATGTTTCCAGGCAACTGAATGTGCTGCACCAGGCCGCCTCATGTTTCAGTCGCTACGATATCCGAGATATCGCGATGCATGTCTATTCGTAATGCACTATTCATAAGGTTGTTAAAAATTCGTCGACAGCCCACAACCGGTTTCGCGCTTCTTGGGGTTCATCAGGTAGGCGCAGTCCCCGAGTTTCCGTCAACCTTATATTCTAGTTGAAACCAAATTGCATCAACTTAGAGAACTACACTCATTTGCAAACTAATTTGGTTTTGCCAGAGACTCACCTGGAACCCGGCTGAATCTCTCTAAAACTTTTGTTTCACTGCACTGCAAGATTTTTCAGGGGATCAAAACTCCCGCACAAACTCAATAACTTTTCTTCACATGAAGATTTGTACACACACTCAAAGTGACCGGCAGCCTAGTTGTATCGAAGATGGCTCTATCAATGCCCGATTAATTTCCATCAAGATTGGTGATTTGCGGTGGATTTTGCAAAGAATAATTTCTATGCAGTACTCTTCTGGCAACAGTTCTAGAATCTTCGAACAGGGGTTACAATAGCCGATTTAACAAGTGCTTCTTTCAACAGCTGTTGTTCATTCATTTACATACGAGAAGGGATTCTAGCGAATATACACTCATTTGCAAACCAATTTGGTTCTTTCGAGAGACTCACCTGGAACCCAGCTGAATCTCTCGTTTATGATGTTCTCAGGCAACTGAATGTATATTCGCTAATCTCGTGCAATTTGGTTTCAAGTAGAACATAAGGTTGACGGAAACCCGGGAACTGCGCCTACCTGATGAGCCCCAAGAAGAGCGAAACCGGTCGTGGGCTGTCGACGGATTTTCAGCAACCTTATGAGTAGTACATTACAGAAAAGGGATTCTCTTCTTTGTCCCTTCAGACCAGATGTTATCTCTGCGGAAGCTTATTTTCAACATTCACGTGATAGTATTGAATACTTCTTGTAAACCTGGATTAGTAATCACTCTCCGCCGCTTTTCCACATCGCCGTCATCATTCTCTACTCCCCGGATTTCATTCAGTTCTCTATTTTCGCCTCTGCCACCATTGACAAGCTTTTTACTTGAGCGGGCCACCATAATAAGGTAATCTCAAACAGTCTGTTGTATCTGTTCTCTGCGTGACTGGTTGTTCATGTGCTAACACGGCTGGAGTCCAACTTACTCGTATACTCAACACCCCAACTGTTTTTATCGCTGCAAGCTCCACTCCTCTTGCGTCATCTGATCATTCCTTTGTGTGTGTCCTTCGAGTGGTCACATTACCTTTTGCAGCCTCGTGCATAGTTTCGTTGAATCACTCTAGACGGTGTTGCGTTGTCAAAGGCCTTTCCAGTAGCTCCTTTAGCCCTAATAAACCCCACAACCTCCTCACGGGACATTTACCCATTTCATTTCAACTTCTGTTAATTTAGGTTCCACATATGAAAAGTTGTACTTTCGTCTTCATTTCGCGACCATGGAGTTCCTTCAAATAACTGGACTAATTCCACACCATCGCCTCCAGTTTCTCGCTATATCTCCCAGTTCTTCTATCTTCCGATGGCCGAAACTGTATCACTAGTTTACCCCTGGTGTATAGTTTGTTGTTGATAAACTGACCGACTGATCTTGGTGAATCACACTCATTTGCACACTGTTTTTTTTACAGTTCGATTCCAAATAGAACCTAAGTTTGACGGCAAATCGAGCACTGCGCCTACCTGATGAACCCGAAGAACGGCTAAACCATAAAGGAAACTACTCACAAGGTTGCNGACAGCCCACGACCGGTTTCGCCCTTCTTGGGGCTCATCAGCAACCTTGTGAGTAGTTTCCTTTATGAAGATATACAGCGATATCCCGAATATCGTGCCAACTGAAACATAAGGCGGCCTGTGTGCAGCACATTCAGCTGTAGAATATCATAAACGAGCGATTCAGCTGAGTCTCGTGAAAACCAAATTGATTTGCAAATGAGTGCATTTCTCGAAAACGGCTAAACCAGTCGTGGGTTTCTGAAGATTTTTTAGCACCTTGCTAACTATTTTTTAATCGAAATTCCCGTGCTTCGGAAGCTACTGTGGATCAAACACATTCTGACGTGGATTTCTAAGCCTAATAGAGGCCCTATCCGACGTTAGCTCAAGAATGCTTCTGTTGATCGTTTTCGTTCTGCCCATCGTACATCCACCTCGCCTCGATAAGTTGCACTTTCTGACAAATTCCATCATCAGCTAAGTCGGTGTTACGGTTGGTCAGTAAGTACACCTGCTTGCCAGGCTTGACGAATCGGGTCGATGCGTGAATCGAGCTGGTCATGAAAGTAGAGCACTGTCACTATCAGTCGGCTTGCGCATCAGACTGTGTGGTCCAACTAGCGATCCTTGCTATCAACTGATCCGGTGGTTACCCCGTCTTCCAACCAGCGCTCTCCGTTATCGATCATCCTGCCATCACCTAACAACAGACAGAATGTCTTAGAATGACACACTACTAGAGCCCACTGGCTCACGGCTGTCATGAATTTTGACACAGACGTTTCCATGTAGAAAAGGATGACTGTCCCATATCACAACCAGCCCCCCCTGCTTGAGATTATCCCAGTATATTTCTGAAATAAACTAGTATGTCGCTCGTATTCAACATTCGGCTGCTCATTCCTTTGTTTTGCTTCTATTCGGGCTCTCATCCCCTCAGAAGAAGATGAGAAGAGAATATAATATTTTCACTTGCCACCGCACCCGCGTAGTGTGAAATTTTCAATCTCTTAGTGTCGTAATGAGTCAACAGCTTGAGTATACAGTTTCAACTTAACGCTAGTGAGTTGACAAACAATCCTTGTCGCTGGCCCCTCATGTATTGTCTACGTAACTGCCATGAGTTCATCTACAAGCAGCTATTTTTGTAGCACGTCTTCATATGAATATCGGTTCCGTGCGCACTCATGATCCAGCTTGCTTAAATCCTCATATTTTGAGGTTTGAAAATGTGCCACACACGGCAAGACTCATGGGTTAACCTCCACCAGGAATGAAACGAATGCACATTCCAAACTGTCTCTGAACTATGCTGCTTTTCGATTTTGTGGTTGAATGATGGCGACACTTTCCCCTCACTTGGTGACATGTCTTAACCATGAGAACCTAAAGGTAACTACTCGAGACCGGCCCAGACACTGGACAAATTCGACGGTTTGGAAAGCTGGAATGTCTTGAATGTGGATCGATTGCTGAAACCCTAAACGTAGTTCGAATTCTGGGTCAACCTGATCGAAAAAGACAGCTCCAACAGGGAACAACGAATTGGAGGTCATCAGCGTAGGCTCTTGATCAATGTTTACAGTAAAAATGAGCTCCCAGTCAACCTATAGCCGGACCATGACCCGCTTTCGAGTATTATCTCGTCCTTCACTGTAAAGCCATTGAAATGGACATTATACTACTTGAGATGGCGAGAATTTACTAACCGAGAGGTTTGGTTCGAGCCCAACTCCGGGATCTCGACTGCTCCTGCCTAGACCTGAGAAAGTTGGCTGTATCTCGGCCATCATACCTTCTTCAGGTTGCGTGTCGGCTAGACACCGACAGGTTACTACAGCTGGATGACTATTAATTTACTAGTTATACTGATTAGAATACATGCCAAGCTAATAACATTCCCAAAAAAAGTTGAGAGCAACCCATGCAGGATAGTGAACACACACGTTACATTGGCACCCTAGCGGTGTTTTTAAGTGTCTTTAGAGCAGATCTTCGAACACGGCTGTGTCTCAGTACCTCCTATCACATTGCATTGCTTGGAGTACTGTACTTGCCCTGACCGGTGGCAGCCGAATGACTGTGGTCACGTGAGATGGGCACAATCGGTCCTCTAGTGCGACCTTGATTGACTCTTTCGGTCAGTCGTTTCAGCTTAGCGGAATCCAAATGGCTTCCGTGTTGGTACTCGCTTCGCCATGGTGCTCCAGCACTATATGCACTCCAAAGTTCACTGACGCCTCTTTGTTTCCCAAATGTTTCTGGTCTGCTGTATACACAACACAATCACTGTGTTCTCCATAGGGGACTGGTTTCATGCACACTCTGCTGCTTTTTTCCAGGACCCTCAGGCCAGCTACGATTTCAACGACAACGACCCCGACCCAATGCCCAATTGGCGTAGCAGTACGAACAAGTGAGTCACTTTTCCTTATTCCGGTTTTTATTACCGCTTGGCGCTCCCCTCTAACGTTCACTTTTTTCGTGAAATTTCCATCCATCCATATCTAGCAAGCGAAATGAAGTCAAGACCATAAGTAGAACCCATACGTACTTATTTTTGTCTGAATATATGGAAGGCGTGCGTCGTGAAGTTTTCTTAAAAGTGGGGCGTACCATGGGTTTCACTCACTAACGGACACTGATGATTTGACCCACCCGATACCGATTCATACCTCGTTTCCCCAAAATCTGGAGTACGCTGTCGATTACCCCTCCAACTGCTTAAAACCTGAAAGGAAACTCCGATTTTTCTTGCCAGCCGTATGTCATTACGTAATCGTCAGACTTTATCTCCTTTTACTGAGCTCCGTCCACATTTATGAGCGGCGTTATCCGGACGACTGGCACTGAGTATGGATCAATAGATGGAAGGTGGAACACCACATAACGGTACGAATTCAGTTTAGCGGCAGTAGCGAAGGAATTCCGGAATTTCTTTGAGTTTTACATTCACGCAAACCGACCAGGTTAGCTTGCAAGAGCTCGAAAAAGCCAGTGGGGATAGATTGAACCGGTCGGACATCAACATTGCAGTAGCAATTGTTAGTATTCGCCTCGTTTGAGCACATCAAGTCTCCGTGGAATGATCAATGCATGTTGGGTGTGGTTCTAAAACGACTGACTACTGAAATGGATAAGCGGAAATGCGTCGGTAAGTGTTTTGGCCTGTTCACGATAACAAAAAGCAAGTTCCCTCCTAAGAGAGACAGATTTCTCTGACTCAGAGAACGATTTTAGCCACCTCGATGAATTCCCTTTTCACATCATGGTACCTAGGACGGTATACTTGGTCCAGTCGAAATCTCTTTTTGTTGAGACCAACTTCTCAAGTATGGTATCCAACCGGTGGACTGTGTATCCCGGAAAGCTTAGGGTAAATAGACGGCTAATGGGTGGGGTAAACTAAACAATTGATCTGTGTACTTTTACCATTCATGTTGTTCGGCGTGCATGGAGTATCACAATGAGACAGACATGACCCAGCGCCGCCTACCCCGACATTCCCGTCTCTATCTATGCTTTAGTTGACGCGATTTAATTGCGCCGATACTATCACGGAATAGACTGCATAGCTGAATCACAAAAACAACAAACTACCTCGTCTAGCAGCCTACTGAGGCCGTTCGTTTGTCACAACCAAGAGATGTTTTTGCGCCACAACTACTGCATAGCGAATCACAAAAACAACAAACTACCTCGTCTAGCAGCCTACTGAGGCCGTTCGTTTGTCACAACCAAGAGATGTTTTTGCGCCACAACTGTCTGGTTGACGGGTTCGTGTGAGCACTGAATTTCTCTCATCACGATAGTACAATCGTTTGTTAGACTCGAGGTTCACAGCCTTGATGACTTGGCCGTATGTGTGTGTGTGTGTGTGTGTGCCTGTAAACCAAGTCGCACGAATAATGAAGTTTTTTTCACGAGAGTACGATCGTTTGTTAGACTCGAGGTTCACAGTCTTGATGACTTGGCCATATGTGCGTGTGTGTGTGTGTGTGTGTGTGTGTGTGGAATGCCAACCCAGAAAGAACCTTCAGCTGGAAAATCCGCACGTGATGAGAAGTAACTAAGTGACTAAGTCAGAATAATCTGACTGCTGGTGAGTAGTTGGATTATCTAACTCATTGATTGATCGAAGTCATTGAAGAAGAAGAGTTTTCTTTGGTCGAAGGGTTTCCACCAGGAATTGGAGGAGAATGAGCTCAGTCATGTGGAACAACAGCCCTGGATCCATTTCAAAGTGAGACGAAGCTGCGACCATCTGCGTGGAAATCTAACGTGTAGATGTGGAACACGCTTGTGATCGAGACAACGACAGGAAGACTACTAAAATGAACACTCCTTTCTTTGTTCTCCCCTCAAAGCGCTCTCTCCAGAGGAATCCAGTTGTAGTGTACTTGCTGGCTGAAATTCAGTACAGGTTCGCTTGTCAATTCCGGTCAGTCCGCTACAAGTAATTGGTTGTTTGGACACAGGGCGAGCGTGGATTTACTGACCGAAAGGTCCGTGGTTCGAACCCGACCTCTGCCCCTGGACTCTCCTGTCTAGGCTTGGGCAACCTGGCAGTATCCCAACCCTCGTGCTTCCTTCGGGTAGCATGGCAGTTAGGCACCGAAATGGTGCTACAGCTGAACGATTTTACGAGTTTTCGACACAGCTAAGCGTGCTACTGCATGTAAAACAGTAGTTCCGACGTAAGTCCATGAGAGTGAAGATCCATCTTCTTGACAGCCATCGGCCGGCCTATTCATTTGAGCATTGTGACTAACATCAGTGTTCCACTGACCATCAAGATGTTGCTTTAATTCCTCAACTCCATCACACCCCAGTCGAAATGCTCCGCTTTTAACCGGCCATTACACTCTATCTGTAAAATCCTTCCCTGTTTCTCCCGTCACTCGCAGTTTAGTTTGCAATCCTCACCCAAAGGAGATACCGAAACCCTCCTAGTTACTCTGTTGTGAACCACCCAGCGCGAGATGGCCAGAGCGAAAGTTTACCGACCGGTCCGTGGTTCGAACCCCATCTCTACATCTCGACTTCTCCTGTCTAGAACTTGGGCAACCTCGCAGTATCTTAGCTCTCTGGCTTCCTTCGGGTGACATGGCAGTTAGGCACCGAAAGCGTGTCACAACTGAACGATTATCTCTATCTATTTATCTTTCACCCAGAGTGAATTATTTCGGTTGTTCTGGATGGACAACGCGCGATCAGATCACCAACGTTCTAGTGTTTCCCACAGTCACAGTAGCACACATCTACTGTCTACTTGTACAGAATAGTAGACCTAGCCTGCTGCACGGGGTATCATTGTAGAATGAGTGCACTGCCTCCCACATAGCAGTTGTGGAACTCCTATGTTTAATTTTCATAATTGTGTTGGCGCCTTTTGTGTGGAATGTAGGAGGCTGTCGTCAAGGAAAACGTTTCTGAACCTATTGTGTCTGTTCTTCTCACTTGTTTGAGTGCTCCATCAACGTGTGTGTTTGAGTTTGCATCTGTAATCGATCCGCGCACATTTGTTCGTCGAAACTCCAACACCGTGCCCCAGTTGCTTTCAGAAGCGAGGCAACAGATCTGGAGTCTTATCTGAGTTTGTCCCTTTCAACCTGGTTTGTTCATCCTATTTTATGAGGAAAATTCCGATTTGAGAAACGTGAACTAGTTTTTTGTTTCAAGTTTAGGCTGCTCTGTGGCAAGATCTCTAGCGATACTCGTCCGAAGCGTGTTCCCAATGGTTAGTGCTCGCTACTTAAAGCACAGCTGTTACCAAACCGCCGCCTAGATCACACCAAACCATGCGCTGTTTATTGAGAGTGGTGCTAGAATGAATACCGTCGTTAGAGTAGAGGTTCTTAAGGGACATTTACCCCTCAATCAAGTCGTCAACAGCGGGTGTTGAACTACAAGGCAGTGAGTGATTAAATTCAACATGAGATAAGGGTGACGTATTACGCCATTCTCTTGATCGAGCTGTGATTGCGCTGTGGGTCTCTGCTTATGTTTTGATGGACATGGCCCAAGACCAGTTCAGAAGGGACGGAGACTGTGATAGTGTACAATCATTCCATCCTTTTTCGGTTCCAACATACCAATCTGACATGGCGAGAGACTAGTCCCCACGTTCATGCCGGCAGCGTGTCACGTGCCAAGATATGTGAGAATCACCACCAATCGACCGCTGTACGAAAATATGCTCATTTATTGCAAGGATAAAACTCTGCATTCAGCAGAACCTCTTGCTAAATAAAATTCCAGATTTCAGAAGAAGAAAGGGGACATATTCATGCAGTCAGAGACCGGTCAGTCCGGTAACTTTGTTTTTTTTTATATCCAAGATGTCTAGTCGCCAAGATCATCAGGAAACTGAGCAGGTGTTCCATTTGCATGAAACAGACAATGGTGTTTGATCAGCACTCGGTTAACAACCGAGTCTTCTTAGTCGAACTCTCCATGATCCTGTTTGATTAGCGTGTACATCCTCATCGATAAATTGGATCAGTTCAACTTCGAAGCGAATACTGGTGTGTGGATGAAAGCCCTTCGCTACGGAGTTGTTTATCAGAAAACACCAATTAAATGGTTACTAAACATTGGACTGGAAAGTAAACATCTCACATGCACCTTGTTTTTAAAAACTGAATATCCGTCTTCTTCTTGAACGCGACTTCTTGAACTTTCCTGGATATTCCTTGACTATCACACAATTGTGAACAAATGCTGCAGAGCAGTTTCACAAATTCCATAATAAATCCCACTTTCCATTGGATCAAGGCGGAGTTACAAAAAACCGCATATTACTCGCATGCCTCATGAGTAGTATCCGCAGTCACACTGATACAAAAAAGTAAGTAGTTGACAGCACACAGTCTTTTGATTATTCGCTGAGCTGGGCAGTTCGATTGCAAACGTTTCATCACCCCTCGAGGTGACATCGTCAGTGCGTTGTTAGGAGGTGTAGTAGAGCCTAGCAATGGGTCGATGGCTGTGCCAGTTATGTGGTTCAGTTTTCGATGGTCAGCCTGGGCTTTTGTCGGTCGAGGCTCGCAATAAACGTCGGGCCGTTGATGGCGCATTATTTCGAAATGACACTCAGATGTGCCTATTCTGTTGCTGTCCAAGTGTATACACACTCTATTCGTGATCGCTTTCCTTCAGTGCTTCCTCACACTTGGTTCGCACCGCTCTCCCCTTTTCTTTCCACTCTTCGCCAAGGTTTTACTATGATTATGTGACAGTTAAGCGCTAGTATGTGGTTGTGAGCGATTATTTATCTTGTTTCTACTCCTGCCTACTTCTAGACACCCTTACATATGCGTTACCCTTGTCCATTTGTTCCGTGAAGCAATGCTCTGTCCTCTTCAGCCTTTGTGGTGTTTCCAGACAGAGACTGGCTCTGCTTTGTCCTCTGCT